ATTCTTTTTGTAATACTGGAGATTAAACCCAGGGTTTTTGCACTGAGCTATAGCCCTGGTCTTTCCTTTTATTTTTTGAGACAGGATCTTACCAGATCTCTGAGGTTCCCAGACAGGCCTTTGGGTTCGTGATTTTCCTACATCAACCTCTCAAGAGTGCTGGAATTACAGGTATGTGGCACCATATCCAGCTTCTCACACACTTAGAAAGAAATTCAACATGTTGTGTACTCTGTCCCTTGGAAGAATGAAGGAAGATACTATAAGTAAAACAAATTCTTTTTTTTTGACATAGAGGCTCCTTATGCAGTTCAGGCTGGCCTTGGTCTCACTTTGTAGCCCAGACTGGTCTCAAACGTGCAATGATCCTCCAGCCTCAGCCTCCTGAGTGCTAGGATTACAGGCATTCACCACCACACCTGGCTCTGTAAGTACCTTTTTGGAAGGCATTTTGCTTGCATCCAAAAGTCACAGAACTCTCTGTAATAGAGAGTATTGAATCCAACGCATGGGAACTGTGCAGGGATTCCACATGTGGTTATTAGGCTCTTGAGGAAGCTTTAGTATGACAAGTGTCCCCTGGAGGTGCTTGGTCACAGCCATTACTCTTCATGGTTTGTGTCATTTCTGTACTGGACAATGACTCTAGATGACAAGTCACTGACTTAAACTGATGTTCCCGTGGACATAGAAAATTCTGAGAGAATAAAAGGTCCTTTGTAGTCACTGAGTTTTCCTTCCTCAATTTAGATATACTAATTTTTAAATTTTTGGAAATTGGTTGTCACTTAGGTTACGTGTTAGAATTTTGTCTATGATGATTAAAACTCCAAACTTTGGAAGTCTGTGGGAACATGGAGATCTGAAAAAGATGGGCTGCATATAAATAATCTATCTACAATTCTTTAATGAGATAGAAGTGGATTTTGAAAAAATACAGTAAACTTGTAAAACTGAGAGGAATAGCTGGATTGACTGTGAATGCTTAGGCAAAGGAAGCAGTATCTATCAAAACCAGTGCAATTCTCTGCATATTAACTTCATATTTATGGTTGACAGAGTTGTATATTAGGACCCGGGTTTCTGGTATATTAGTTGGTATATTTCATATTATCCTTGGGAACAAGTTGGAGAAATATGAGTTTGCAGTAAAGTAAATTTATGTGTGTTAAACAGTTGTATCAACAAGCATGAATGTTTACAAGATTCTGGAGAACCTAGAAAATATAGAGATAGAAGAGGAACCATCTGCTCTGGAAAAGAAAAAAAACTTCCCCATTCCAGTAGGAAGCACAGATATGACATCTTTTTAAAACCACCTTAAACAGCTTTGTCACTGGAGAGGAATTAGATATTCCTTACATTTTGTATAGGATAATTTGGCATTAGGGAGGCAAGATTTTCTTAATGTATAAAGAAGATTTCTGTCAATTGAATGGGCTGTTTTTAGGCAGCAAACTTACTTTCCTGTTTAAGCAGAGACTGGACACCAACCTGGACACTGCCCAGTGCTTACTTGCTTTGAAATTACCACCGTTGCTTTTGGTTATTTCTAAATGTTTAGACACTAAGTTTGAAGAAATAAGTGAGTAGATAGCAAATAAACATGTTCCTCTTTGTCACAATGGCTAAAGGAGTATATTTTTTGTCACACAGTAAAAGGTTATATTCCTTTGGAATTCTATGTGCAACAGGAATGAACTTTTAAATCATGAATAATAAGAATCTCTTAAAAACATTTCATCATATTAAATCAATCTTGTAAAGGGGGAACACTATGGCTTTCTTTAAATAAAAACAGAAATGCTTCTGGAATGTGTTCAATCAATCTCATCAGAAATATGACTGCCATAAAATTAGAACCATGATTGTTATATTTCGCTCATAAAAATAGGCTCAGTTTTTCTAAATACCAGATTCTTTTGCGAATGTCAGTAAATATTTTCTCAGGAGGCAAAGTTATCCGTAAGTTTTCCTTCTCTTTCTTGGTCAAATTATTGAAAGTTTTAGTTCCAAGTTAGGAATTGGTGGATTTTAGATTCTTTTAATTGTGCAACCTGTTTTAAGAAATATAGTTTATACGATATCCCAGAATCATACATACATTAAAAATGAAGTAAAATATTAGAGAAATAACACATGCATATGTGATAGAATAATAGTCTGAAATTTTCAACTCAACTCAGCCTAATACATTATTAATTAAATATTGATCACATATCACTCCTTTCACAGGAGTTTTGGACAAACACTGCTTCAGTCAATAATTATTGAAAACTCACAAGAAAAAAATAGCAGAATAAATGAGAAAATTCAGGTCTTCTTACTTTGGGATGTTTGGCAAACTTGTTACAGAAAGATTTTGTTTTGCAAATATATTATATAAAGGCTCCTGGGGTATCAATACATTACATATTTTTTCTGTAGTTCTTTTCATCCTGTCTTTTTAGTCCTCCCTAATCTTTCCACAGCAAGCACACATCCCTATAACCTCTTGAAACGTGAAAGCCCATGAGAGAGATAGAGAGATAGATTGCTTTTGTTTTGTGTACCTTACAGCCTTACATCTAGAGAAGCAAGTTTTAGCCTAAAGCATGTCTGTTTATGAGCACATTCAGGTGACTGTCGCGATAATGGAATTGCGGATACACTGCTCAGAGCGCTTGGGTAACCATTCCTTTATTATCAGGATGGAAATGCAGTTTTTAAGATCAAAGTGGACATCTCCTGAAAGTTACATTTATTACAAAAGGATGAAGTGTCTGCATTTGTAGGAATCCAAGGGACTTAAGGCAGAAAGACACTGCAATTTTTGATGGGACACCAGCTGCCTAAGTAGCTGACAGATACAAGTGGTAATCTAATTTTGAAAGTTACCAGTTCCGTCAGCTTCAGGTGCTTGATTTTGTGATAGTTATAGTGGGGGTCTGCCTGACAGCAGATCTGGTCATCTGTGCAGGCACTGAGAATATTTTTGTAATTTTCACCCTGAAGAGTCCTTTGGTAGCATTTTGATCTGTTTCAGAAAACAGGATCCTATACTGCTATCACAGCAGAGGTAAAGTAAAAGGTCATTATAATCAGTCAATATTACAGTGCTTGGAAAGTCATTGTGGATGAATTCTAGTGCTTAAAACAGAGTAGCCTCAGGTAGCAGGAACCACACTGTGGCCATTCTACTGTTAGCTAGTGCCTAAAAGCAGTTTTGCTGTGTTCAGGGCGCCTGTGTATTCCCATTTACTACCCTCTAATTTTTTTAAACATTTGAAACAAGATTTTACTTTTATTTTTCTCTTTATTTTAAAAGTTTTAGATACAAAGTGTATGTATTTAAGGTGTTCAACCTGTTTTGAAACATGTATGCATTACACAATGGCTAAATCCAGCCAGCTAGCAGGAGGATCACCTCCCCTGCTAATTATTCTGTTGTCAGGCCTTCTGCCAAGACTTTCACATGATTTACCTTCAGAGAAGACTGAGGACATCCTTCATCTGGGCCCACTTCAAATGCTACGTAGATGTTTTCTTATATGACTGAAATGCTTTTCTAGTAGTTTTGAATATTCATGACATTTTGGCCAATGTATACTGGAGACTAATAAAGATTTACCACTGTGTCTTTTCAAAAATTTTGCAGGATTAAGTCAAACACTAATTCCACAAGCGTGGATATTATGTGAAATTGTTTTATTTTATAAAAGAAATGACTTCTTTCTCATTTTATTGGCAGACAACTCTGAAATCCTCTTTGAATCCCAGGAGTTCATCTTTCTAGAAAGTAGAAGTGGAGGACACATGGTCCTGATAATTATTTTAAATACTTACTGTAATTTAAAGTGTTAGTCACAAAAGTGGTTATGTACTTCATAGCCTCTTTATTAAAAACTTTTAAAGCCTATAATTATTATTGATGAAAGGTATATTCATTTTAATGCATTTTAAATGGACTTTTACAGGGTGGACAAAGCCTTGATACAGCTTTCTTTCCTGTACTAATAAAATAATAGTTTTTAAATTATAAAGATTTTTTTTTTTGTACTGGGGATTGAACTCACGACCTTGCTCTTGCCTGAGCAGGAGCTTATGCCATTAAGTTAAACTGCCAGCAAACTATAAAATTTTAATGAGATCAAAAAGAATAACATTGGACTGGGGATTTAGCCCAGCACCCTAAGCATCTGCGGGGCAAGCATGAGTTTGTGAGTTCGATCCCCGGTTTAAAAAAAAAATAGTATTGGAATAGCATTGGAATAGTATTGGAATAGAGAGGTTAAATAACCTTGTATGTCTTGGGTAATCTCTGGTCTCACTGTTGGAAAAATTTTACCATTGATCGTTAAGGGTCTTGATAGTCAAACTAAGTCATTTTCTTTGCCATAAAGCAAGATAAAGATTTCATTTTGTAAAGATTAATCACTGTCTAGTCATTTAAATTCTTCTCTAGTACTAAAATTAGGGCAGGATTACCACAGATTATTTATTTATAATATAACATTTTCATTGACTTTTTCAGGTTTAAATTATGGAAATATCTACTCACAAGCACTGCTTTCTATTATAAATAGAGGAGTCCCAAAAAGATGTTGAATGTGAGCTTCATATTTTGGTTCATATTTTGTATCACTTCCCTTTCAATACTCCTTTAAGGAAAAGTAAAAAAAAAAACCCCACTGAAAACCAAAGGACAGAACCCAAAAGGGTAACACGCAGTCTTTGTCCATGTATTCTCTGTCAATGCCACATTTTCCTGATTCTTTTTACCTACACACAGTTTCTTTTATGCTTAGTAAAGCCTGAGAATGAGTGATCCATGCATTCAACACAATTTGTAGTTTTCTACAGCTTGGAGGTCTGACCTTTTTCTGGTGCTGTGCATATTGTTACCACCTCGATTATTCCATCTTATCAGACATAATTGCCCTCATGGGCCCTAGGTTTGACAGGCCTGGAATGAGTTATCTGCCCTCTCTCCCTGGGCCCCTCACTCAGCTGCTACTCACTCAAAAGGGTCGCTGGGATCTGCCCTCTGGAGTTCTGGAGGGATGGGTATTCTTTTGTAGTACATTTCCCAGTCGAAGGCTCCTCGCATGGCATCCCCAGCTTGTGCCTCATACCCAAAGTGATTGTGGTCAATGACATCGATCATGGGACACACGATGGTTTTGTGGTTTAGTGCAATTTGGTCTGAAAAATGAAAGCACAAAATAGGAAATGACATGCCTGCCTAGGTCATCTATCATTTTATTTTCCAGCAAAAAGAAGCCTACAAATTATTGTTAATGCATAATGTTTGCAGGCTTGGCTCCCTGTCGTCATTAGAGCACTTTGCAGGACTCTCTGAGTGCTGAACTTAACACGATGGGACAGTGATTAGGTACAATTAGACTTGTTGTGTTTTCCTTTAAGAAAGTTATGTCCCAGAGAGACTTGCAGAAGTCCATTTAGCTCTGTCTGTGTCACATTTTTGCTCTGACCTGTCCCCAATCTGTCATTTTGTCATGTATTCAACATGCACAGAGTATAAACAGTGTTTGCGTTCCTTCAAGCATAGAGCTGGGGCTTGCTGAGAAATACTGGCCTGTTTTCTGGAGGTTCCAAAATGTAAATATTTTACTTTGTGGGGTTTTTTTTTTTTTTTTTTTTGGTAGCTTCTAATCTCATAACAGTCATGATGGCTGTTTCTCTTTCAATGCTGACAGATCGTACATAGGATTCTTTGCTCTCAGACTTGCCCGAGATTTTGTCCAGTTCCGCTTTCTCAATGTTCATCAGAGACATGCAACTTTTGTCTTCCTTCATCATGTACGAAAGAAGTGTTAGGTGGCATTGTGCTATGACTCTTAAGCAATTATTAAGTCATTTGTGTTTATTCTGTGTCTAATACTCCTAATAAACCTGTAAAATAGCTGTTCAGAAATAGTGATGCTCAATTGTTGAACAAAGAAACTGAGTTCAGAGAGGTTAAATAACCTGTTAAAGTTTGTCCAGGTTCTGATAAGAATAGCCAGGATGGGATCTCTTTTCAGCTGCAAAACTTGCAGCTAAGAAATGATTTTCTCCCCTTATGTTCTAGCACCTTCTTTTCTCATACAGGTATAATTGTTGTGATGCCATTAATATCCAGCACAAGGAACTGGCTCTCACATAGTTTGACTGATCTCAAATAGCCCTGCAGGAAGTATTCTTTCCAAATGTACACTTTACCAATATTTATTATATCAAAGCGTGAAATATCTGCTCTTTTATTATCTGGGAGACCTTCAGATATGGCACGTAACATTAAACAAAGGCTATCTTTTAGACATATTATAGAATTTGGTTATTTCTGGATCACAGTTTTCTTTGAGTTCCCAAAGTAAATCTATATCAAGGGTGGTTCTCCCAGGAAGGGGACTGTCCATGTGCTTCACATGTTTCTGCTAAGCATAGGACAGGAAACAAAAGGCTGTGACAAAAGTGGCCTTAGTTTGGTGATGCTAGTAAAACAAGGCATGAAACCTGCAAAATCCTGTAGATTTCCTTTCAGATCTACATCCTTTTTCTTTCATTCATATTCAATAATCATTTATAGAATGAAATTTAGGTGCTAGTTACTTTTTGGGGATATAGTAATGACTAACACCACAAAAGTCAGGAATGGACTTTGTAACTGAGTGAAGAGTGATGGGAAGGAAGTGGGGGAGATTAGAGAGAAAGACAGAAAGACAGACAGAAAAAAGGAAGGAAAGGAAACATGACATCATGTGTAGGAATAAATTCCCTGTGATGCATATGATCATTGTGTGTGTCTAAATTATATGAATAAACTTAATAAACATTTTTTTAAAAGTCATATGGGGAGGAAAAATAATAAATGTAATAAATAAGTTCTGTACTGTCTTAGAAGGTGATGAAGGAACATAAAAGAGGGTAAAGGAATGTGGAATGTTGGGGTTTGGAAGGATTGCAGCTTCCAGAAAGTAGGAAGAAGCCCCAGGAGGCCTCGGAGACCCTGCAGGCTGTCTCTCTCTGTCTCTCTTTTAGCTAATTGGTAGATGGAAAGTTAATCTACTTCAGTGGCTCTCTAAACATTCATTTTCTCCTGGGTGAGCCTTGTAATGGGTTTTAATCTTTCTGTAAATGATATTTCCCCAGAGACGGAGACAGGAGACATCAAAATATTTCTTCTATCACCTCTGCAAGTATTTCAGTGTTAAGGTTTTACAACTCTTTTCCATCAAATTCAGAATCTGGCTGATTTACAAGTTCCTTGACCAACAAGGAGTTGCAACGGGACCCTAAGAGAATGAGTCTGTTAAATTAACTGTCAGCCTTCCCTTCAAATTTCCCTTCAGCTCTTCTCCAGCTGTACTGGTTTAGGGTGAAAGCAGTATGACTAATTTTTCATCCAAAGCTTGTGCCTACATTTCAATTTCCAGGGATCAAACAAACAGACTCTTAATAGGAAATTGAAATTCAGGTATAATCCCAAGGTGAAAAATGAGCCAAAAAACTTGTGACTCCATTTTTTTTTTGGATATGTCAAGACACTGATAGAGGAAAATAAAAAAGGTAGTGATCCCAAGCTTGAATCATTCCTTATCCATTAGGCCTACAGGAGATGAAATACTTAAATGAGAAAAAGTGGGTTATGGTTTTCTCTTATTCTCTGTTCTTGTCTCTTTTATTTTTTTGTCTTCTTTTTCTTTTTATTAGATTCATAGTGAACTAGTGAACAATCAGAGGCTCCATAATTGGCACTTAGGGACTGCTTTGGCTCATAAATAAATGAGGCCTTTTGCTGACTTCTTGAGTATTCGATACCATATAGATCAAATTCAGTTTGAGGGAATCTTGCTGTTCCTGATGAAGCTCTAAATTGCTATGTCCTTGGACAAGGTACTTTTAATTAAAGGCTCAGAGGAGTCTCCAACTGTTGGATTGCTGAGACATTCCCATCGTTAGGATGACAGGGCAGTCATCTGTGACAATGTGTGGATTGGGTGATACGGTAGGGGTATTAGTTGCTGAGTGTTTTCTGTTTTAAAACCTATACAGTTTCAGATGTGCTCTCCCCATCCTTTACCAGTGAAGCTTGATTGTTTTGAGCTGAATCCTACTTAGCAGCCAACAGCAAATCATTCTTTCTGAGACAGCTATTGTGAAGAAGGTAGTTGTTACTGGCTTTAGTTCTGAGGCCAGGGATACATATTTGCAGTAAAAATTGATTTGGCAAAATCAGTAAGAATAAGTGCAATACATGTGTATCAAGAATTTCTTAGACCGAATTTTTTTTTTTTCAAAAGCAAAATTTATTTTTTGGCTACAAGTGGAGTTTATATTGGGCTTCATCATAAAATAAGAACGAAAGTATTGAAGTTTAAATTGAGCTGCAATTATATTTTCTATCTTAAATTACTCTTGGTTTGTTCATGTTTCTAATAGTTCAAGTGTGGTGTGACATAGTTTTCTCTTCTGTTTCCTCTTAGCCAAACAGCAAGCATTTACAACTTATTATCTGGAGAGCAGCTTGAGGTGTTTGTGTGATTCTATGTGAATATGGGGGAATCATGTACTTAAGGATGGTATCAGAAGTGGAAAGAACATCAAAAAGAAATGGGATTATCAGTCATAGAATGAGCTGTGCATGGTGGCACAAGCCCATAATCCCAGCACTGAGGCAGAAGGATTGCCATGAGTTCCAGGCGACCCCGGTCTACAGAATGAGTTCAAGACCAGACTGGTCTACACAGAGAGATCATGTCTTAAAAAAAAAAAAAATGTCAGAGTGCCTACCCTTTACATTCTGATGCTGAATAATTTTCTTTCCTCCTTTTTAAACAATGTTGTAATAATTGTTAAAATGCGAATGTGTGTATTTTAATTTTATTGCAATTAAAAACTGACTATAAAAAAGTTTTGGTGGCATTTTTAAGCTTGTAGCATTTACTCCATAAATAAAGGAATATGTCTAAAATAAACCTTTTTAAATTTAAGTTAGATTGCAGCTGGTGTTATCTAAAATACCTATTTTAATTCTGTTTTCTAGTTAACTACTTGTCTTCAGCAATAGTTAAGGCACCATTCAAGTATTTTATTGTGAAAATTGTGGGAAGCGTCTAGTCTAGCCTCTGCTGCCTGCTGTTTAAACAGGAACAAACCTTGCTGTCCTTCTATAAGACCCCGATTCCCTCAGCGCCATGGTTCCAGTGTGTCATGGTGACAGTGTGTACTCACTAAGGAGTGGGGGCAGCCAATTCACATTGACCTCACAGTGGGAGTCCAGGAATGTCAGCACCTCTCCTCTGGCCATAGACGCCCCCAGGAGTCGGGTCCGGATGAGTCCTTCCCTCTTCCTGGTACGAAGAATTCTCACTTTGGAAAAGCGAGCCACGTATTCTTCTAGTTTCTCTTTCAAGTGTTCTAGGAGGAAACAGTGCATAAGGAGAAGGTAAAACATTTGCTGCAGCAGAATTACTCAGGGGTACCGGGCCTAGAAAGTATGTGATGATTCCTAGATAACAGTTTAAGAGGTTGTGTTTCTCCTCTTCTTATTGAAAGGGGAAATACTTAGAAGTTTTGCATGTTTTGTTTCTCTAATTGCTTCCTAAACTGTAAATACTGCCCTTTGTTTGAATGCAGTAGAAGTCAGTGACACAGCAGTGCTCCACCATGCAGTTACTCCTGGTCAGCTGCCACCATGTTAATCTGGGGTGGTGCTTGCCAAGATGGGCATTGGCCTGCTGGCTCCTACCAAGCAAAGTCAGATGAACATTCAGCACACAGGCTCTTCCTAACAAGAGTACTCTTTATAGCAAGGCTTGCTTAGTCTGGAAATAATGCATGTAGAACAAGACAGAAAAATATGTTAAATCGATGTGAACTACACAGAACCCTTGAGCCTTCTCAGGTAGTAACAAATCGGTAAGCAAACCTAGCTCTCCCTTCTGACCTGAAGTAGAAAGATGACTGAGTTAGTCTTGAAATACAAATGGAAAAGGAAGGCAGAAGAAATACTATGCAGTCATTTTGAATTTAACTATTTCAGATTTGAAAATATTTCTTAGCCTAATTGAATATTTCTTTACTTAATTGAAAGCAAGCAGTATGAAAAAGTCGTCAAATAACTTATTTACAGAAAACACATGTTCTCTTCCTTATTGTTATCAAACACATCAATATTTCAGTCCTTTTTATTACAAATAAGTGCATTTAGTAGGTTTCTATGCAATGCATACTTACATGTTTTATATTCCCTGCCTTTGCTCTTCCAGATCTAAGGCATTATGAAGGATCTAGGGGAATTTCTGGCAAGTACAGCTCAATATTCATTGAATTCTAATCTCTTTGTACAGCATGCTATTTTTTACTTTTCAAGCTTCTAGTACATATCTGTAGTCAAAGCAATATTATTAGGACTCCTCTTATAATCCATAGCAATAGTGATTTAGGTAGGTCTATAATCATTGTCCTATTTAACAGATATGGGAATCTGTTTCTCATTACATAGTGGTGATTCTTAGTCTTATCTTGGTATTAGTGTAATTAAAAAAAACTTAATTTCCCTTTTCTTTTGACCGCTCTGTATCTGTTTCACAGATGAGTCAATTAGAATGATGTGTAGCTTTCTAATTTTCAATACAAAAGAATCAGGTACTATTTTGTTCTTCCTATCACTAATGGAGATACAGAGTGGAGACTACGGAGAGCAGAGATAATAGGATTTGGAATCAAAATAGTCCTGGAAGGGTGGCTTGTAAAAATGATATAGATGGGTAGGTCATGTAAACTCTTTCAGTTTGAATTTCCTCGGGTATAAAATGTTAGACTTGGGGAGTTTATGTTCTTTTTACAATGAATGAATGTCATGTTCTGAATTAGAATTTGATTATAGCCTGGTCAGTGTTCATTGAAAAATCATTTATTAAGGTAACAATTGGAGACCTTCACGCCCTTTTTAATTGGGCATTAAAAACAATGCCCAACTGTCATTTAGTTGGGCATTAAAACCTTTCTGAATTACCAATTTACAAATATGTAGCATTTTGTAAAATTTAGTTTTAAATTGGTTATTTGGGCATAGAATGGATTGCTTCATGAAACAGCGTCTACACAGTCACCAAAGACCTCAAGATAGACGATGAATATTTATTTAACCTATCACAGCAGCCCCCTTTCCCTTCCCCTTTTCTTTAATCTTCACTGTTCTTTTGTCAAATGTACAACACCAAGCAGCATCCCAGCGCCCCATTTGCATTTTTTTTTTGTTGTTCTCCCTGACTCCCAGGGACTAAGGTGGCCTCTAGTGGTGGCGCGAGAAAAATTTTCTATAGCTCTGAGGAGGAAACTGTTCCAAAATATTCTTAATTCCCGCGTACTCCAAAGTGGGAACCAAATGGTTGCCAGTCACCTGAGTAGGATGGTCCCAAATTCAAATTTAGACTTTCGCACTTGTTGATTTTACAAAAAATGGCTTACAAGAAATTCTCCAGAACTCAGTGGGGACTTCCTGTACCAGTTTTCTCTACCCCCCCCCTCATTTTTCTGATTTGGTGAACTCTTTTTATATCAAAGTCCATTTTAATGTAATAAAAGATTGTATAATAGTGAATTCATGGAGCACAAAGGGGTCAATCACAAAATAGAGTCCACTGGGTATTTACATCAATTCCTGCAGTTTGAACTTTATGATGATAATTAACTTGCTTTGCCTCTACTAATTATCTGGTCCAGTTCCCTTTGGGGTCCATTCTTAGTTAATAGTCCAGTTCTGACATCTAATTACCCATAAATCACAATGAAAGTAGGTATCATCATTTTTATTGCCAAATAAAATAAACAATCAAATTATATCTCAAACAAGGGATATACTGGAGGTGGTGGAGATGGCTTTAAATTAAAAAAAAATTGCCTTTCTGTAGCATGTACAATTTTAGACTCACTTCTCAAATATTGTTCCTGTGATGCTAAATGTAATTCTGTATTAATTCAAGCTTCACATCTTTGAAGATGATTTTTGAACTCACTTAATTTTAAATAATTCCTACGGAATTTATGGTATTTTTGTAAAACAGACAGTTTTTACCAGTGACTGTGAGACACTAATAGAACCACTGAAAATTGTAAAGTCAGAGGTCCTAGACTATAAATTGATATGGTATTACTGAGGTCCACTGAGAAATATCCCCATGAACCAGAAGAGTGATCATAACTTCAAATATACAGTTTTTGCTGGAATTTATTGTGTCACTATAAAGCAATAATGAAACCAGGTTATACTCAACTGAAATTTTGGTGACATGCTATTGTGAGTATGAAATGTAGAAGTTTTCTGAAATGCATCTTTCTTTTGCCTGAGATTTCATTTATACTCCATAGATTTATGTGGAGAATATATCATTTGTTAATGGATTTATTGTTTAGAGTACCAACTAAACACCAACAGCATTCACTTTCAATTATTGCCCATTCAAGAGAATAAAAGACAAGTGCCACACTCCTTCTGCTGCCTGGTCACGTGGATTGGGGTAAATCATTTTGCACAGTCTGACCTCATTCCCATCAGCTACAAGGTGAAGGAATGTAACTGGTGGATATTATGTATTTCTTCTAGGTTTCTGGCTTTATGATTTCCTTTGTGGAGTTTCACTTACTTCAACGAATATTTAATTTTTACTAAGTGCTTCCAATGGTTGGTATTCTGATGTCTTCTTCAGACTGTGTCTCAGCTTTGAAAGTAAGAATTAAATCAAAGTAAAACTAACGTGCATCAGAAGTTTAGTCAAAAAAGGCAAACTCCAGGGTATTTTCTTTGGTCTACACATCATCTGTGTAATCTCCTGCAGTTCGCTGTCTATAAGACCATCACTGATGGCAGAATAATGACATTGAAGCACTGTAAGTTCATCAAAGATTTAAGCCTGTTCAATAAGTTACACATATTATTTTTAAAAATGCAATAATGAAGTTTAGAAAGTTTTTTGAGAAATCAGTCCCAAGGGGTGGGCAAGCTGGTAAGCACCCATGTCACAGAGGACGACCAGGCATTCCATGGAGGGAGCTCCCTGCCAGGCAAGGCCAACAGTAGCCACACATTCAGCAGCGGATACGGAGGCCCAGAAACTTGTTGTCCAGTGCTTCCCATGTCTTTTGGTAATTACTAGTTTATATCTCAAGTGAAAGGAGAAAGGAGCTAGGAGACACTGCTGATCTAGAGAGAAGATATTCTTTCATTTCTTGTTTTAAGCACAGACCCATGGAGATGAAATCCTTTTGCTGTTAATACAATGTTGTTGATGAGTTATAGTATAACATGACCTTAAGACCATATAGAATATGTGCTAGCTATTTCAGGTGATGTCCAGTTATGAGTTCTGAGATGTATTAAATTGTAAAGACACAGAGGCATACATATCTTAAACTTTTTTGGTTAATCTTTACATAAGAATACACTCTACAGTATAACTCTAAGCATTGTTAAGCCAAGATTTTACCATAGTGACAAGAAGTGCTTTAAAATTAGAGAATAGGATATTTTCCCATTTGTTAATCTACTTGGTGTATGTCATGACCTGGAGGAAAATGCTGCAGTAACTGTGTACCTAACAGAGATAATAGAACATTTTCTGTCCTTTTTTAAACACAAGAGAAGCATGAAGATTTTAAATCTCCAGCTGAGTTCTAAAAAACTGATTGTCAATATCTTTTTGTCCTGGTTGACCACACTAAATCTGTCCCCTTTGATAGCATTTGAATATAGATATTTTTCATTTATCTCAAGAGCACACACACACACAAATCCCACCAAGAAAAGAATAGTATTGATGAAACCATGTTCAATCATTTCTACTTTGATTTCAGCTCAGTTCTATCTCTGGATGTCCTATTTTCTATTCTTTTAATTTTGACGCATCTTAAGTTATTTAGGAAAGAGCTTAAGTTATTTGGGAAATAGAGAAAATATATTTCAGATAATACAAAGTGAGAAAATATAGAATTAAACACGTCACCCTTTTGCAGACTCTAATAAATGAATAGATAGGTTGTATAAGGTTCCTAACATCATAAAAGAGTAATAATATAGTAGGCATCACTGGATAGAAAAAATACATTATTGCCTATGAAGTATTCTTGTCTAAATCATTGTCTGATTTTAATTATCTCACTTTAATCACATATTTTTTAGAAAATAAATGCATTGAAGAAATGTTAATGCTACACCAGGGATATTATCAGCAATCTCCAAATCATGGCAAATTCCTCAGGACAATGACTTAGTTCCTTCAATAAATATATTATTAGGAAAAAAATATAATGAGAGAAGAAACCTGAAGATGAACAGGAACCTAAGAAAGCTATCAGCCAGTCCAATGAGAGGACTTCAAATGGATTCAGATTCACGTAAGCAGTTGGGAAACAAGGGA